TTTTACGGTCAAGCACCTGCAACGTGGTCAAAATATACCGAAATTCACACTCGTTGGCGTCGTTTAAACTTTTATTTCATCAAGGATCTAACTACTTTTCAACGACAAGATCCCACTAGTTCGATGTGATGTAGGTGCTAATCCCACGACTCGAAAAGTTTATTAATCCAAGGTACTTTTTCATGCTTCATTGACACTTGTCAAACATAATGTTTTGAATGTCATTGAGTGTTTAGGAAGGAGAGGAAATCGGTTTTTTCATTACCACTAGGTGTCAAGCTGATGGTCCCCGCTCTGTGAATTTGCCGATTGTTTAGGATGCATAAAATTGTGGATTGTGCCTGCACACACACAGACAGGTCTTTGCTGACCACCTCGTCATGTCGCGTTCTCACATGGATAAACACCATAGTGAATTCGTTCTGTTGCTTTCTTTTACGCGGCTAACAATGCAACACACGCATGCGCCACCGACAGAGGCATCAGACGTCATCGTTATTGTCATTACCATCTCACTCCTGGGGCATCTGATTCATTTCACCTGCTTTATCGCAATTAGCTAAAACCTTGGCCTTCACTGTTATCACATTTCCACGCTTTCTTTCTTCTCTGAGAAGCAAAATTCTTCTTGGCTTTGATAATTTTGTGAAAGAATGGAAATCGGATTAACTAATCCTTGCAATGCAGTGAAAGCAGCGAAAACCCTTTTTCCACTTCACTGTGCTGCACTGGCTGATGATTCATCTTAATAAAACCAGATTTACTACTCCTTTATAGAATTGTCGTGAATTCCAAATTAATTCTAATAGGATCTACTTTAGAGTGTAGCAGAAAGGCAGACCTTATTTTCATTCTAGGAGCCAGCATTGGCTTGAAACCTCGAAAGGGTCGAATTTAGATTTTTGTGTGTTTCCATGCGCTTAAAATGTGATGTTAGCCTATTCATTGTTGCTCTTCCAACAATTTTTTACTTCATTTCGAGTGTTTGAAATTGTCACAACTCGAGCATTCTGTTTTTTTGCTTTTGCTCACCCATTGAGGCCATTGCGATGCTAAATTCTCAGTAGATTGACGCCTCATTTTCTTGTCACTTTACGTCGACCCAAAAAAATATTTATAGCCCAGCGTTACATGGGAATGCTTTTTCGACGTTATCAAATGTTTAGTACGTGAATCGTTCACTGAAAACTAAAAAGGTGTAAAACGTTGTGCGTCAGCGTGGTCTAATGCATTCCTTCAGGGCGACGTCGTAAAGACACCAAATGGAGTGCGAAAGAAGTTCAACGGAAAACAGTGGCGACGCCTCTGCTCTAAAGAGGGTTGTACGAAGGAGTCGCAGAGACGAGGATTTTGTTCGCGCCATTTATCCATGAAGGTGGGTCACGCTCATTTGAGATGCTAGATTTATGAACTAGGGGACATGGGGTCAATGACAGGTGGTCTTGTAATTTCATTTGCCGTTTGGGGACTCTAGTGGGAAGGTGGAGGTCCACCCTTGGAATACTCCACACTTGGTTGTATTGCTTCAAGCACTATTGAATTGAATGTAGTTCAATTGAGTAACAAAGTGGAATTAACGGCACAAAGCAACATCATGTTTTTTTTGGTTTCGGTCATCATCCTGGTTGAAAGTAGAAACCAATTTAGATGTAAAGACGTATCAACAGCTTACTTTTGTAATAGGGGAAGGAGATGCGAGCATTCAGTTACGCAGCTGCGACAGCAGCTGCGACGAAAATGTTTGCGATGAGCAGTACCCGACCACCACAGCAGCAATCCTCACAGCCCCTCTGCGATCTCATCTACAACTCAGCCACAAGTTACGGTGTTCCGTCAGGGCCCATTTCCAACCACAGTAAAGGTTTGCATTATATGAATCTTCAGCTTTTATTATGGTGTACTTGTAAGAATAGGGCTTTTCTTTTAAACTGATACTCTTAGTGGCGCTTTTTCGTGCTTGAGCTATATTTTTTGCAAAGAAGTAACTTGGTTGGTTCTATCTTTGTAGTGAACTCCTCCTGTAAATAAAAAAATAAAACATTCAATCTTCATTCAAAATATCGCATATCTAATCGAAATTGTCATCAATTTGCTGTTTTATTTCTCATCATCAAAATTCATAAAAATGATTTTTTGTTTTTACCTTTTATGCGTTGATATTTCCAGCTGTCTCAAACAAAAAAATGGGCCTGTATGGACGGCTCTTAAAAAATTTTCAAAGCTTGCATGCTTCCGTACCTCCAAACAAGGCAACGAGACAGTGCCTTAATAATAAAGTCAACTTCATTCACTTCGCACACTGTCCATGCCGTTGTACACCTTTTTAAAGTGTAGCCATTGCTAGTCATATTGGGAAGCCTTATTCCGTCCCATTTCGCGCAGCCTCCTCTTCGTCCGTCAATTCGTCTTTGCCAACACCATTGGACCTTCTGCCCGTACTCTCACCAGCAAGCGCTTGGCGACCTTCACCACCAAATGATGGTTCTTACTTTAATTCAACCACACCTCTTCACACTCCTCCAAGCTCCAGCATACCCCACTGGGCACCTTTTCCCACCTCCTTCGCTTCTCCTCCTGCCTCCATCGTACCTCCCTCCTCCTCGGTTTTTATGGGACATGCGTCCACACAAACCTCTCACGTCTTCGCCACCTCCCCTGACAAGACCGGTGGTAGTACCAGTGCCACCTCCACTACCCCAGTCTCTGCCCCCATCACAACCACCTCCTTCTTCCCTAGTGGTGGTGGCGGTGCTGGAGATCTTCCCAGTCAACCAATAACTGCTTGCCCTTAGTTTCACATCTTTTCTACTTCCCTTACTCTCACTTCCTCTTTCCCTCCCTGCTTGCGCCTGCATTTAATGTTTGTGTATTTGACCGCTTGACATCATTCTAAATTTTCTTCTCCTATTCTTCCCTCTTCAATTTTTTTCCAACCCCATAAGTGCGCGCCATACAGTGTGCTAACCCCTTTAATATGGTATTAAT